CAGGAAATAAAAGCTTCAATCACAAGCTGGCAAAACCATCTGAATGAAAGGGAAAATAGACTTTCAGACCTTGAAGACATCATTGCAGCTAGTGAAAAGGTAAGAAAAAAAAAAAAAGTAGGATGTAGGAAAGAATAATTTAAGGTCTGCAAGATGATTCAAAGATGAACAACATAAGACTAATAGACATCAATGAGAAAGGAGTGAATACAAATGATATCAAAAGAATATGGGCAGAAGTAATAGCAGAAAACTTCCCAAATATGGGGAAACATTGTGACGTTCAGTAACTGAAGCATATAGAATTCCAAATAACATCAACCCAATTAAAAACACACCCAGACATTTAACAATCAAGATCACAGAAATCCAGCACAGGAACAGTGTACTAAAAGCCACCAGAGAAAAGAAACATCGCATTTAAAGGAAAACCCATCAGAGTAACAGCAGATTTCTCTTCATAAACCGTCAAGTCAAGAAGAGCATGAAGCAAAGTACTTCAACTCTTGCAAGAAAACAAATTCCAGCCCAGACTGATACCTGCAAAACTCTCAAGTTCAATGGAGGAGTGAAATACTTCCATGAGAAAGAACAACTAAAGAATTTCATGATGACAAAGTCAACCATACACAGACTACTAAAAGATATTCTAGAGAGGGATCAAAATGACTACAACTCCACGAATCAGAATGGAAAGAACCCACCAAATAGGGCAAATAGTTAAGCACAGGAGAAAAAAAGGTATATAACATCAGTCTTTCAATTATTCTTTTGTATACAGTAGCAAAATGTTTCCATCAGCATACTCTATATATGGACTTCTGCACCCTATAGGTCATGATTCTGTCTGGGTCTACAGGATGGATTTCAAGGAAATAGCAGTAGCTCAGTCCCACAAGTGATACCTGGCCACCAGTAAACATCATGGACACTGTCCATGTCCACCACATACTAGAACTTTGTGTGATATCCTATACCCATACTGTTAGAAGTGCTGGTCATATGTTTGCCATTCCAGTATTTTTGTTATGGTTTATTTACTTATTTA